GGGTAGCAAGGGAATGGAGCTGTGAGTCGAAGTCTATTGAGATACAACTAGGGACAGACCTGGGAGCAAGGGAATGGAGCTGTGAGTCGAAGTCTGAGGACTCTGGGCTCCATCCCTGCTCCCTAAATACATTCAGCTATGATGGAAGCTATGGTAACAGGTAACAAAGGGAGATATCAAAGCTATGGAGATAGGGATCAAGCATGTGGAGATGGACAGTTGGAATCAGTGATCTAAGCAACCAACTGACTGTTGGACCGGTTGCATCAGTTGTGTGGTCAACCAACTGATGCCAACTGATGTGAACGGATGGGAGGCATGTAGCCAGGAGACCAGCATCAAAGGATGATAAGAGCAGCCAGAAAAGCGGTGACCAAGGGGAATGATGGATGGTAACCACCTAGACTGATCCATCACCAACCTCAACACTCCCACCTGATGGAGAAGTCAATCCCATCATCCTGGCGCACTCTGCAACCTTAGCAGCACCTAAAGCCTTGGTCAAAGCGTCTGCAGGCATCTGGGACGTCGGAATGTAGTCCACAGTGATGAGACCGGCCTCAACGGTGTCCCTGAGCCAATAGAACGCCAAATCGAGGTGCTTCATGCGCCCATGGTGCTCTGGGTTCTTGGCCACAGAGATGGCAGACTGGTTGTCTATCCGGAGTCTCGAGGGAGCGGCTGTAGCTTCGAATCCAAGCTCGGAGAGCAAGTTGCGAAGCCAAAGGACCTCTCTGCCGGCATAGCAGGCTGCCACATACTCGGCTTCCGTTGTAGACAGTGCAACCGTCGTCTGGAGCTTGCTGGACCAGCTGACAGCTCCAGAGCCGATCTTGAGCACAAACCCGGAGGTGGAGCGCCCGTTGTCAGGGTTTCCACCGTGATCGGCGTCCACAAAGGAGGTGAACGGCTCTCCTGACTCGTCCGGCCCAAAGGTCAGCTTGTAGTCAAGCGTGCCCTTCAAGTAGCGAAACAGATGCTTCACGGCGGTCCAATGACGCGGACCTGGGTTCTTGGAGAACCGGGACAGCACTCCCACCGCATGAGCAATGTCTGGACGAGTGGCGATGGCCAGGTAGAGCAGGGCGCCCACGGCATTGATGTAGGGAACTCCCACCATCTCCGCCTTCTCCTCCGGAGTCTGGGGTGACATGGACGCCGACAAGCGAGTGTTCGGGTCCATAGGAGTGAGCACCGGCGAGCAGTCGGTCATTCCAAAGGTGTCCAGCATGTCCTGAGTGTAACGGCGCTGATCCATGGATAACTGACGCTTGGCACGGTCCCGAGTGATACCGACGGCCAACAGCAAGGAGATGGGCCCGAGATCACGCAGTTTGAAGCGGCGAGCAAGTTCAGCCTTCACGGCGTCCTTGTCTGCCTTGGTCCTGCCAACGATAGTCAGGTCGTCGACATAGACCGGCACAATGACGTGGGTGGTGCCTTTTCTCCAAACAAACACGCAGTGATCACACCGGGTGCGAGCGAATCCCATCTCCTGCAGGGCACCATCCAGCTTCTGGTACCGGACTTGCGAGGCCTGCTTCAAACCGTACAGAGAACGGTTGAGTTTGCAGACCATGTCCTTGTCACCCTGCTCGAAGCCCTCAGGCTGCAGCATGTAGACGTCCTGCGTTAAATCCCCGTTGAGGAACGCGTTGGAGATGTCCACGGCGTCTGCTTCGTAGTCCTCCAGGGCACACATGGCAAGGACGGCTCGCAGAGTCGCCCACTTGGCTGTGA